AACTTTCGGATAGTTTTCCTCCTTGCATCTGAAAGCATAACATTGTGGCAATATTTAATATACACTTAAATTATATTGTAACTTCTGTTGCTTAGTCAGCGGACTGTTACATAAAAATTTTTGGAAGAACTTTTTAAAGCAGCTTTATATTATCGAAATGTCTGGTCTCCTTATATAATGTTTTCAAAAGTGGATACACAGTTTCTCAGCTTAAGGATGGAACTCAAGAACTACGTATTTACTTAACTGATAAAATTATTCGGACTGTTACGTTGCAGAAAAATACTGTTACGTTACCTGTACGATATAAGTGTAGCGCTACGATTATATTTAAGTTTTTAATGGGTTTTAGTCTGTTTTATGCAATAAGTAGCATGAATTCAATAATTTAAAATTATCTCAGAATGAAGTGAATTTTCATGTCTGAGAGCACGAGATTCGTGTTAATATTTATATTGTGTGAAACCTCAGAATATTTATGAGCCAAATATAATCAAAAATCTGCGAAACCTGAGGAAAAAATTTTCCCCCTTGGTTTCGTTTTCGCGATTTGGGCCATATGTTTTTAAATTAATAAAATATTTATATGAACTAGTGAACCCGAATAGCGTTAAAAAGCCGAAAATTTTAATTCAAAAGCTGAAACCCATTTCAAATATTAGTCAGAGTTATAGCGATCCGAGTGCCATATTTCATCAACATCAAAATAAAATGTTAACCCGCATTCACAGCCCAAAGTCTTTACTTCGTTCTCTCATATTTGAAATTCGAAAGAACATTGCAAATCTAATGAGCTTCAAAAAAAATTCCCTCTTGTATAATATACATACATACATACATATATACTTAGTTAGATCAGTATGTCTTTTAGAAAAGTAGCTGAGCCTAATTAAAAATATTTATATTCATTTATTCAAGGCTTCATTTTAATAATCCATACAACTTTTGTATAAGTGGACTAAATTCGACTATGCAAACAGGTGCAAATCCTTTTCAAAAGTATTTTGAAGACAAAATATTTTTAAATCTCTCTCCCAAAAATTGTGGTACATATTTCAATTAACTAATTAATTAAGGTAAAATAAAGCCGTTTGAAACCCATTTCGATTAATATCCTTCCTTTGAGCATTTATTTAACCAACCAAGTAATATGAATGGAACTTTTTAAACGGATGGAAACCCGTTTGCAATATTATAATAGCTCAAACGAAAAATTTCTTATTAAAAAAAAAAAAATTCGTATTTTAATATTTCATACACGTACATATCGTCGGTGATTCTGCAAAACGGTCTATGTCTATTAGTACACTTGACATTTAGATGGTCTCTTACACTCTAATAAACGAATGACAAAACTGTCTACCTTTGGCTGATGAAGATGAACGATTGCCAGAAGCGATCAGATACCGATAACAGATCAATTAAGCACCAGAGGTAATAAGTGACATAGAACGTTTTGCAGTAATACCGACGATATGAATATATGTATACATGTAAGTTAATCAAATTCGACTTTTCAAACAGGCGGCAACTCTCTTAAAAAGTATTTTCAAGCTAAAACCTTCCTAAATTCCTTTCGCCTAACATAGTGATTCATATTTTAATTAACTGATGAATTAAGTTGAACTTGAATTTTTAAACATGTGGCAACCCGCTAAATATAGTTCAGAAATTTCGACTGATACTCATATTTTAATAACACATTAATTTAATTTTTTAAATAATTTGAATTGAAATTTTTAAATGGGTGGTAACCCTCCACAAATACCTAAAAATATTTCTAGTGGTAAAACTAACAACAGAACAATTTTTCGCTTGACACCCGTATTTTCATATTTCAAATAATTTTCGTAAAAGTTAATAAAATTCGGCTTTTTAAGAAAGTGGCAGCCCTCTTCAAAAGTAGTTTCAAGCTATAACCTTCTTAAATTACCTTCGCCTGACATTGATTGATACATATTTCAATTCCCTGAGGTATTAAGATGAATCAGATTTTTTTAACATGTGGCAACCTTCTTAATGTAGCTCTGAAATAAAGCCTTGTCAAACCCATTTCGATTGATACCAATATTTGAATAATTTTTCATAATTTTCACTTATTACATAATTTGAGGTTAACGGGTGGCAATGCTCTAAATACCTAAGAAATATTCTTAGGGCCGTTTTCTCAAGTATCCTGTAACTTTAAAGTTCACTTTATATTTAAAGGTTACATTAAAATTTGTGATTGTGCCTAAAGTAGAGCATTTTATTACCCGTTTTAAATTGGTTTACAACCAAGAAAGATACATACGTCATAAACCGATAATAGAAATGCTTAACTTTAGACATAGCTTTACTTTTAATCCAACCTTTAAATATAAAGTAAGCTTTAAAGTTAAAGGTTACATCAGAAAACGGCCCTTAGTGTTCAAACTAAAGATTTCTTAATACTATTTTGTTTGACATATTTTAATATTACGTTGCGTATAAGTTAACTCTATTCGACTTTTCAAACAGGTGTCAACCCCTTTCAAAATATTTACAAACTATTACCTTCTTAAACTCTTTTCGTCTAGCGCCCATATGATTATACATATCTTATTATCTGATTTCCTCAATTTAAATTGAATTAATTTTTTTTAAACAGGTCGCACCCTTCCTATAGTGAAGTTAAGATACAAAGCTTTTTAAAGCCATTTCGATTCATTCCCATTTTGAAATAATAATAACTATTTAAATATTTTGAAAATAATTTTTTATAAGGTGGCAACTCTTTTCGAAAAACTAAAACCTTATGTCACATCTAGAGCCAAGACCCTTTAATTTTACACCTCACTTTTGCAAATGGAACGAATGCTGCGGATCGGGTGGCATTGATTACTAAATAATTTGAGTCTAATTTTTTTAAAGATGGCAACTCTTTTCGAAAATGTAAAAAGTTATTACACATCTACAATCTAAATCTTTTAAATTGACACCTCATTTTTGCATATCGATCGAACGGTGCGTATTATTTATATAGATAGGGGCCAGTGATTTGTTAGTCCTGGGGCCGAGTTTTCTCTCGACGGCGCTGTACACAGATACATAAGTTCCATTCAGAGCAGTTTACCGTATACTCCAATTCAGTTAAATTTTTTGTTCAAACATCAAACACAAAAATTTTAGTAACAAAGGAAATAAACATTTTTGCTAAACATGAACCATTTTTGAATTGCAAAAAAAAAAATTAGTAATCGGTTTCACAAATTCTGACTCAAAACACAAACGTAATAAGAGTACAGAAATTCACACGTACACCAAAATATACGATACAGGTGGACCTCCGTTAACACCTGACTTTTGCAGATGGCCTCGCTATGACAAGGTTCAACAAAAAATTATGATTTTTTCAATAAAAAAGATAACGCATCAGCTCTTCAAAACGCGTACGCTTAATGGTAGGTTAGTTAGATATTTTTCGTCCATAGTGTTACCAGATAAGCCGACATGTGTATGATAAGTATTTGGATACTATGTCAAGAATTCATGATTTCATCTAAGCGAATTATAGGATTTTGTAGAACCAGTCTTTTGTTAGTGAGGAAGGCCTCCAAAAAGCAGCTCAGACCAAAATTTGCTCCACCGTTTCTTTTTTTCCCTTTCACCAAAACTTATCTTAAGGGCGTTGTTAGCTAACGAATTGTGACCAGTTATGAGACCCACCACAAGTCTGCAGTCGTTCCTTGGCATTTTATGTACAAGTTTTGTTAATTTGAGATCAAGTGACCTAAGCTCACCGATGAGAATATAATCCCGATATTGCGTCTATATGTTTATAATACTACTATAAGTGAACACTCCAAAAATTGGCGTGATCGGATTATTTTAAAGCATACCTTCCATAAAAACCTAACCTCAAAATCGCCTTGGAAGTGCCATAAATGACATCATTAGTATATGAGGGTAAGAATAAAAACTGCTGTTTACCGCAGTTTTTACTCCCGGCAGATCGCGAGTGAGCCCAAATTATTTCACTGCGTACATATACTTGTGGCGTTCAAAGCTCTGTTTAAATACGGCAAAGCAAGAAATCTCAGCTGACGTTTTGACGTTTGGTGTGTTGCGAGTGGAAACAATAACAAGATTTGGATATTCTTGTTGTTGGCTCGGTAATTCAGGTTAATATATTTTTACCATCGCTCTTCTTCTTTTTTGATTTCGGAGTTTCCTTCAGAAGAGCTTTACCTATGCTTGAGAGGTCCGGAGACCATTCTAATTAACAAATTGTGAACTTCTGTAGGTTTGTAACTCTCTTACACCAGGAGAGAAACAAAAGATCTTCGAGTACAAACTTACTGCACAACAACACCTCAAATTTTAGTGAAAAAAGAGAAATCAATAAATGAAACACAACTGATCGCCATGGGCAGTAGTCGGATACTGACGCGCAATTCTGGTTTTCATTTTATTTTCGAATGCAGCGAAGTGCTTTAATAAACACTATAATGAACAAACTCGGAAAATGTGATTTTATAGATATTTTTTTTTTGGTTTGCATCTAATCAAGTATTTTTTTTCGCAGTAGATTTTAATGGTCGTTTAATAGCATAATTGTTGTTGGAAGAGTCAGGACAAGACAGGAATTGCTTTCAAACCATATTTAAATTGGCGAAAAATCTTCTAAATGCTGGCTGGCAAGTACGAAGCTAGTTGATCAACTTTCGTTGCTTAAATAGGAACCATTTTTTAATTTTAGTGTCGCTTAAAAGGAAATCACTCAAGCAGTTGGTGTGGGTGTAGCAAAGTTAGTTAGAAAAATGTTTCAACTGATTAAACGATAAATCAATGCGTGTATAGGGCGCTTTAGACATATCGAAATCTATTGCATATACATATATGTATACATATGTGTCTTCTTTAAACAAAAACGCATGAGCAACTTGTATTTTCTAAAACTTAATTAAAGCATTGTTCTAAACAAATTAAAATAAGTAAAAATGTACTGCTCGAATATTCGTTATAATTCGTTCGAATATTCTCGACACACTACTGAATCTCATCTCTAACTGCGTTGAATTGCTGGACTAACCGCCACTCCTTTGCGATGCGATATGATTTGCACCAATCTGTAGATAATTACAACACAGAGTCATTACAGTTTCAATACAAAGACTAGGAGGTTAAACTTAC